TCTTGTCAGCAAGTTAAAGAAGTACAGGCTGGATGAATGCACTATAAGGTGGGTAGAAAGTTGGCTAGATTGTCGGGCTCAATGGGTAGTGATCAATGGCTCCATGTCTAGTTGGCAGCCGGTGTCAAGTGGAGTGCCCCAGGGGTCGGTCCTGGGGCTGGTTTTGTTCAATATCTTCATAAACGATCTGGAGGATGGTGTGGATTGCAATCTCAGCAAATTTGCGGATGATACTAAACTGGGAGGAGTGGTAGATACGCTGGAGGGGAGGGATAGGATACAGAGGGACCTGGACAAATTGGAGGATTGGGCCAAAAGAAATCTGATGAGGTTCAATACGGATAAGTGCAGGGTCCTGCACTTAGGACGGAAGAACCCAATGCACAGCTACAGACTAGGGTCCGAATGGCTAGGCAGCAGTTCTGCGGAAAAGGACCTAGGGGTGACAGTGGATGAGAAGCTGGATATGAGTCAGCAGTGTGCCCTTGTTGCCAAGAAGGCCAATGGCATTTTGGGATGTATAAGTAGGGGCATAGCGAGCAGATCGAGGGACGTGATCGTCTCCCTCTATTCGACACTGGTGAGGCCTCATCTGGAGTACTGTGTCCAGTTTTGGGCCCCACACTACAAGAAGGATGTGGATAAATTGGAAAGAGTCCAGCGAAGGGCAACAAAAATGATTAGGGGTCTGGAACACATGACTTATGAGGAGAGGCTGAGGGAACTGGGATTGTTTAGTCTGCAGAAGAGAAGAATGAGGGGGGATTTGATAGCTGCTTTCAACTACCTGCGAGCTGGTTCCAGAGAGGATGGTTCTAGACTATTCTCAGTGGTAGAAGAGGACAGGACAAGGAGTAATGGTCTCAAGTTGCAGTGGGGGAGGTTTAGGTTGGATATTAGGAAAAACTTTTTCAATAGGAGGGTGGTGAAACACTGGAATGCGTTGCCTAGGGAGGTGGTGGAATCTCCTTCCTTAGAAGTTTTTAAGGTCAGGCTTGACAAAGCCCTGGCTGGGATGATTTAATTGGGTATGGGTCCTGCTTTTGAGCAGGGGGTTGGACTAGATGACCTCCTGAGGTCCCTTCCAACCCTGATATTCTATGATTCTATGATTACTGGGCAGAGGAAGCACCTGGAGGAGTGGATGGACACATCCACAATGGCAGTTCACAGCTTCAAGGCTTTAGTGGATCCTTTGCTGCTTTTGGATTCTCAGTTTCTGAAAGTGAGCCTTAGCACCCATTTATGCATGTTACTGGTGAAGAGGTTGAGGAATTTCCTGTCCTATCTTGACTCAGCTCCTGTAATCTTTGCCTTTGACCACTCTGTGCTGGATTGCCATAGTTTAAGGAAACTTCTGAAGGCCAGACAGAAGTTTCTGCTAGTTCTCAGGGCAACTATCCATCTCCTAAAACTGGTGGGATGTTGAGACTTTCAAAAAGGTTATTCATTAATTTCTAGGTGCTGGTTCAGGGTGTGGGGTACAATCGTTAAAACCTTGAATGGTCTGAGATCTAGATACCTGACAAACAACCACTTAGTTAGTTTCTTGTTATGTTGGCAAAGATTAGGTGAGGTGCTTTTGCTTCCAGATCTTAGAGTAAACCTTTCTAGGATCACCAATGGGGTATTCTTAGGGGAACTCACTAAGATTTGCCAGAACCCAAGTCTGACAGTTTTCAGTGAATGTGGAAAAGACTACAGAGGGCTGGGTGAGAGTGTTTCTGACAGGTGGATGTAATTATTGAGCTGAGTGACAATGATTTGCTGTTTGATTGCATATTATGTCAGGTGGCATAATATAGAGAGGAGAACTATTTTGGATTCATAGAACATTGGAACTTCTGTGTTGAAAATTTGTTCGGATTTAACAGTCTCCACTTAAGCAGGAGGGATTCTGACCTCCTAGATTTAAAACTGGCAGGATTATTTCAGGAGATCTTTAAACTAAAGACAGAGAAAGGGACTTATTTCCTAATTCAGCTAATCAGAGAGGCACATCTGACATACAATGTAATAAAAAGATGGAGTTGCTGTGAAAAATAGAGAGCATTTGTGCACTAAAGCATCTGCATACACACATAAAAACACGGAACGCAAGATTAAAAACATATTAAGTGAGAGTGAGTGTTATACAGTATGTGTAACCAAAACCTGGTAACAAAATTCTCATAAATGTCAAATATCAGTATGGATAAATGCAGTCTGTATTCAATAGCAGAGATAGAAAGAGAGGGGGAGGAATGTCATGTCAAAAGTGTTTTCAGTACCAATGAGATCATATAAATTGACAGTTATGAGTGTGGTGGTAAAATCTATGAATTATCATTCTGGTAATGACAAATAACAGCTACTATAGGTGTCTTTTGCAGACTATCAGGACTGGAGGAGAGAGAGAATAAAATCTTCCTGGACTAACTATCAGAGTATTTGAAACCACAGGATATCATACTTATGGGGGTTTTAACCACCCAGATTATCTGTTGTGTAAGAAATATAGCCAAACATGCAGCATAAAAGATGTTTCTAAATTACATAGACAATTTTTGATCCATAATATCTAAATTCAAGGATAAGCCATCCTGCATATACTTCTGACTGGTTGAATGTGTGAGGAAAAACAGAAAGCTTGGCCTGAGTTACTGGTCTTCATTTTAGTAATGAATGGGTTCACAGAATAAGAGTATATGGGTACTGCCCTGTGTCTTCCCTTCTCTCAGGAGGGAATTCTGCTATTCCTATATTCTTAGAGCAGGTACCTGGTCTTATAGCATCCCCTGTGCCATCTGTGATTCCTGACTGGGTATGGAGTCTGCAAGTTTTCCCTTCAGGAGCTGGGACCAAAAGTCTTTTCCAAACAAAGTATTGTTTAATCTCAATAGTATAAACAAAGCATAACAAGGGAGAAGGGTTCTTAACTCAAGGGTTCTGCACACACTTCTCTCTTACCTATAGGTTAGGTAGGCCCAGTTTACCCAAGCCACCCAAACTGCTGCAGACAGAGACTGCTTCAGAGCAGACTGAACTCCTGTCTCACTCTTCCATGTTCTTCAGGGGTTGTAGTTTATACACCCCAAAGTTATTTGTTCCAGCTTTTCCCACTTGGTTCCCTACTGATGAACTCAGCATGGTTGGGAGTAAAACATGATATCTGATTTGTCTTTAAGAACCAATAAACAATCTGCCTAAAGCTATTGTCCCCTTTCCTGCATATGTGCAAGTAACCCCTGGTTGAATTAATCCCTGGTGAGCCTATAACAATCAAACAGTTAATAAACTATTACTGGCAGCTCCCCTGTACTTCACATAAATGTTGACAAATTAGCAAATAAGGTCTGAGGGAAAGAAGCATTAATCAACAAGTGAGGAAAAAGTGGGCTGGGGAATCCTAAAAGACACTAATTAAAACATAACAGACAATAATTTCTTTAAAGGAGGACTGCAAGCAACAAGAATTAGCCAATCTGGCTCTAAATCAGGGAGCTGAAATCACAGGCACTCCTGTGCTACAACTGGAAAAGTACAGGGAGGGACAATCGCAGAAAAATACACAATCAGTTGAAGGTGACCCTTCAAGGGGAAAGGAGGTTTGTCTTTTTATTTTTTGTTGTTGTTCTTTATTGATATATAATGAAGGACTGAAAAGTTTTTAACCTTAGAAATATCACAAATTAAATTTTGTCTTCCCTGTTTTTGTTGGAGCCTTCCTTGGAAGACTAGAAACCTAGCATTGGAGCTTTCTCTGCCCTTACCTGAGGGACAGAGGTTACAGCTTCCCCAAAGAAAGCATCTAGCCAACTATGTGGAGGCAGTTAGGATTAAATACCTGGTAACAAACACAATAGTTTAAACCACTCTAACTAAAACTCCCTGCTACTAGAGTTGCCCAGATTTCATTTTCTTGTCCCTTGTAATGTCATAATTCCACTAGTTCTTCAGGTTTTAGAGTAGCAGCTGTGTTAATCTGTATCCACAAAAAGAAAAGGAGGACTTGGGGCACCTTAGAGACCAACAAATTTATTTGAGCATAAGCTTTCGTGAACTACAGCTCACTTCTTCAGTCATCCACAGAGTCCACCAGCAAAAACAGGCCAGACAAAACCTGCTAGTTGTAGTGGAAAAGAAAACAGAGGCTGGGAAAAAGTGTTTTTTCTTCTCAACCTCTCTCCCATCTCCAGAATTATTGAAAGCTGCCTTTGAGCATAATAAATAATCCAGAAAGGGGGTGGAGGTATATTTTTTTCCTTTGCAGGGTCCTTTTCAATGTTGCAGGGAAAAGACAAAGTAATCTAAACAACAGGGCCAACATTTTCAAAAGCAGCCAGAGATTCAGGGTGCTACAATTTTGCACCCCAAAAGTGGCAGCCACTCTGGAAAATGTGGATCTAACCATCTAGGGGGACTCCTGGTCGGGTTATTTTGTAAGTGGCCTGCCTGGGTGCCCAGAGGCCGTTAGTCAGTGGAGAAGGTGATGAGGGACTGGACCTTGCCTGGCCAATAAACCCATGTAAGGAAAACCCACCTACGCACTTTGAAATCCAGGGATGGGTGGTCACCCTGGGGCGCGGATCTCGCTCAATCGGTGCGTGGGGCTGCCCGCTGCTCAGCCCCCTCGCCTGCCGCTGGGCAAGGGACCGGACACTAGCAGAGGGAGCCCGGCTGCAGCCGGCCGCCCTGCCCCGTCTGTGCAGTGAAGCAAGCGGGGAAGGGCGCAGGACAGGATCCCCCTGCTCTGCTCCGACCTCTGGCTCCCCAGTGCCGGGATAGGCCCCGCTAGCTCCGCGGAGCGGCACAACCCCCCCTGCGGACGAGCCACCCCCGAAACAAAGTTAATCCCTGGCGACCCCTTCCCTGCCCACGAGCGGGGTGGGGGATGCAGATGCGACCCCCTCCCCGTGGAGGGGGGCAGGGGAGGCTGGAGGGACTGGGGAAGGGGAGAGGCCTCTTCTCACCCCCCCCCCCAACACTTCCCTTCACCTTTCACGCAGAAGTTTAATTATAAGCCGGATCCTGACTGTGCCAGCGGATCCGCTGTGAGCTCTGCCAAGGCTAGGGGGGAGCTTTCGCTCGCTCTGCAGCAAAGACGGAGTCTCCCCGCCCGCTGCTGCAGAGGGGCGGTGCAGACACCCCCGGAGGTGCCAAGGGAGCTAGCGGAGCAGACACCCCGGAGCTGGCGGGGGGCCGGGTGCCAGATCCCCTCTCCGGACTGTTGGGGGAGCAGCGCGGCGCCCTGCTGCCACGGGCATGTGCCCGTCGTCGTAGGTGGGGAGCGCGCCCCTGGTATGCGGGGTGATGGATTTCCAGGCTGTCACTTTACTCTGCTGCTGCTTCTTTCCCCTCATCCTGCCCGTTACCCCAGGTAAGAGCGCGCGGGAGCCGGAGCCGGGGCCGCCCGGCGGGAGGCTGCGGCTGGCCCCAGCCTGGGCGAGTTCATGGCACTTTTGTCGCGGGCGGAAAGTTCTGCTGCGGGCGGGGGGGAGCTTTGGTTCCTTACCCGTTCGGCTGCTGCTGCTCCCAGCTCCTGTCTGTGCGCTCGGAGAGACTTTCTTCGGTCTCGCCGCAGAGAGGGAGAAGGCGGTGCGGGGACGTGCGTCCCCGTGTCCCGGCGCGGGACGCACACACGCTACGAGCGAGCGGCGGTGGGGAGCGTTACTCGGTCCCACAGGCGCACCCGCACCCGCCATGTTCCGGGAAGCGTGTCCTGGAAAGCCGCCGCTGACCGAGTAGACGACAATGCAGAAGACCCAGTGTTTCCTCTTGTCATCTTGGTGTGCAGTGGCTGGCGAGAACGGGAAGAACTTGCAACCTTAACGCAAGTAAACGGGTTTAAAAACTTCCCAGAGGTCGTCTCACGCTGATTTTTTTTTTTAATGCCACTGTTGAAGAACTGAGTATTTCTCTACCCTACGCGTGTTTTTCTAGTTCAAGTTCCTCCCAAGTTCTCATTTTCTCTCATGGATTTTAGAGGGGCGCTTTTCTTCTCACTGAGTGCGAGCAGGGATTTCTCTTGCCATGTCATTATTTCAAACGTTAATGATTGCACGTGAGATTACGATTATTTAACAGATTAAAATATTTACATTCAATTGTCTGCAAAGAAAACGTGCCTGTTGCTCTTTAACTTTTGCTATTCTCGTACACTTTAATCAAAATTTAGTGTTTCTTCATAACACAGCCTTGTCGAATGGATTCAACATGTGTACTATCAAATTTTTAGAATGCAAATTATTTCTGACTAAAGGTACTTTTGTATAAATAAAAATATAATAGTATCTGTGATGTGCAAAACGATTTAGACCCTTTTATGTCATTTTCAATTTTATGTAAATTGATATTAATATTGCAAAAAATGTCCATATGCTAAAGTGGTTTAACTTGTACAGTTCTGAGGAACCTCCATTCCAGGTGTCTAACAGCTGAATTGCTAGGAGATATGTTTATTTAAAGTTACATTTTGTTTTTAGAATGAGAACAAATCTAAATTTTATACATTTTTGGTTAGTTTTAAAGCATCTATAATCTATATAGAATGTGAGGATATGGTTCTTTTTAGTACTGACACTTTACAAATCTCTCTCCTAGATGTTGTTTGTAAATCTGGCTGCCACCCAGTGAATGGATTTTGTGAAAGTCCTAATGAATGCAGGTAAAGAGATCTACCAGCTGAGGTTATTAGTGAAGGGACTGATTATTCTTGTAAAAAAAAAAAAAAAGACAGAAATTAGAACAATTTGCCCGCTGAAAATGTGATGCTATAAGGACACAGCTCTCCACTAACAGACTGTAACTAGAATTGTATAGCATATTAAAGAAACCTGGATGCCTCTGAGAATTAGAATATTTCTTTTAAAATATCCTAGGAGCACCTATAGAAAGATACTTAAGAGGGCTAAGTTATTTTAGGTTTAAAATATTTGTTTTTCTTGCACCTAAAGTGAACCGTTTTTCTTTAATTCTTTCCCCAGTATTTTATAAACATTGAAAGTCTTTTTTTCCAAATGCATTACATGTAGCAGTGTTATCTTTGCAAATTCAGTTTTTTGTGCCTTTTAAAAGGAGAACAGCCTGGTAATTATTTTAAAAAACCTCTGTATCTTGTCTTGCATCTATTTCAGGTGTCAACCTGGGTGGCAAGGAGCTCTCTGTTATCAGTGTGTTCCTTTTCCTGGTTGTGTGCATGGCAGCTGTGCCAAACCATGGCAATGTGTCTGTGAAGAAGGATGGGTTGGCAGCCTTTGTGACATAGGTTTGCAAATACTTTCCTTTAATAGAGCAACATAGTTTCCCAGAGATTAAATGAAGTGATTACAGCTCCATCTGGTGTTAGAAATATGCAAAAGTTTTTCCCTAGATGTTTTCTTTCTAAAATGAATATTTGACCGAAAACACGAAGAGACATGAATTTTTTTTGGGGGGGAGCGGGGGCGGTGAAGGGGGGGAGAGAAAAAAAAAAGCCTTATGCATTCACATTTTAGGTGAAAACACAATATCTTGTATAATATAGTTCTGGATATTGTTAGAATTATGTATAAAACCCTAATTCCATTTTTAACTATGATTGTCACATGCAGATGGTAAATAACAAATTCTACACTGGTTCCGTAAATGTAAGAAGTCCCCGTGGGTGTGTTCAATCAGTTGAAATAATTCATTATTCAACATCATGTGCAGATGATAGTATAAGTTGAAATAAACACATGAGTTTGGTGCTTGACTAAATATTTTCTAGCAAAGGATTTGAATGGAACTATTAGAAGGTATAGCATTCAATTCTTCCCTCATTCAAACCACTGTAGATCAAAAGAAATTCCAGTGATTCAATGGAGTTACATTGGTGTTACACCAGTAGAAAAGGAGAAGTGGGCTCATATTTTTGCCAGTCTTCTGGGTTTCATCATCTTCTAGTTTATCAAAAGTTAGTTTGTTGCTGTGTTCTGTAACTTGATGTTCAAGAAATCCTTCTTATTCATTAGGCAATTCTCATTGAATAACATTTTCAAAGTCTCCTATGTGACTTACAGCCTAAATCCCATCATCTTTGAATTAAACTTGGGTTTTTATGGTCCAGATTTTCAAAGGTATTTAGACACCAAAGATGCAGATAGGTACCTAGAGAGATTTCAGAAACACTTAAGTAGATTAGATACTTTTTGTTTTTAAATCCCACTAGGCACCTATCTGCATCTTTAGGAACCTAAATACCATTGAAAATCTGTCACTTTTAAAAATGGAACTTAGTCACTTGAAATCAATGGGCGTTAGAAACTTGATCTGGTTTGGCACTTCTGAAAATAACACAAGTTTCCGATCTAGATCTCTAGGCACCTAAATACTTTGAAAATCTGGTCCTAAGTCACTAAGTCCCTTTTGAAAATAACTTGGGTGGATTTGAAAATATTACCTATTATCTCTATATTTAGTAATACCAAGCATGCTCTACAGACATCCAAAAATTATTTCACTCACCACTAGGAGTCAGTTTTTGCAAACTTGAATCCAGGGCCGGCTAAGGACATGTCAAGAATAATCAGAATGATAGAATTAGCTGTTTGTCTGATGTCGGGGTATATCAGGTATATTGAAAATCATGCCAGTCCAATGGATTTAGCTAGTCTGGACATGTTCTCTAATTCATATTGGGTCAGCAGAGAGAAGCTTCCTCCCTGTTATTGGATGGCCTTTACCCGTGATTGTCATGATCCAATAAAGCAATATAACATGACATGGAGCAACTGCTCAGTCATTGGATTGGACCTTCCTCTGCTAGGAAGATGGTTGTATAAAGTTGTGCTGAATTGCTATAACTCACTAACACATACCACTAACCCAGATTTGATCAGGTTAGGAAGAAAGAGGAAATTCCACAGGACAAATAGGAGGCTTCTGCCCAATTTGGGATGGTTAGCATGTATGAATAACTGACTTCCATATGGAAACACTAAATCCAATACAGTACCTCAGTATAAAATACTAGACTCCTACCTATAAAGGAATCCCCCTTAACATTTTATCTTTGCATGTGAGAAGTGGAGACAACCACTGTTACATTTTCACAAGTGAATGGACCTAAACTGGCATTTTTAGCTCCTCAGGCAGTCTATAGCTATGAGTGTACACCAGATCAAAACATACAATTACTATGTTGCTCTAAAGAATCAAGAAAGTTCCTAAGTAATGCACCTTTTTATGGGAATTTGTTGCAATTCCTCAATGTCCTCCATTTTTGCAACTTTTAAAGACTGTATACGTTTGCCAAGGTGTTTCTGTATGCAGCCACTGTTTGGCGATATTCAGATGTGGGGGTTGGTGCAGCCTTGTTATGAGGAAATGGGCCAGCAGTGGTGGTATTATTGTTGGTAAGGGGCTCCAGTCCATGCCTGAATATCTACACACCAATTTTTAAGCTCCAGGGCCCAAGCCTGTTGAACCTGAGTCAGCTGACCTGGGAAAGTTGCAGGTTTTTTAATCCCCTTGTAGACATACCCTGAGTTATTTAATCACATGCTTGAAGATGAGTACATGCTTGAGCACTTTACCGGATCAAGGCAAGAGGGTAGAGCACTTTGCAGGATCCAACCCCATATTTAAAACCCATACACATGTGTCAGGGTGTAACCAGGTTGGCCACTTCTCATGCACCCCCTTTTGGCCTAGGGTCAGGCTACAGGCAGACTACCTCAGTTTCCCCACTTGGACTGTTCAAATAAAACTTCCCTTCAAGCTTTTTCTTGGTCAAAATATAAAATAAACTGCAAATAAAACTCAAAATCCCCAAACAAGGTCCTCCTAAATCCACACAACATAAGGCCTTCTCCCAGGCCTTCCTGCCTGGGGCAACTCCCCCTGGTCTCTGGGTCGTCACTGCAGGAGCCTTTCCTCACTTTCTCTCAACGCTGCCACAGCTTCCTAGGTTTCCCCCTTTATTGCACCCTCCTGCTCCTTTTACACCAAAATCACTTGATTGCTCTCAGGTGAGACTCATGCTATGATCAGGGTTGGCTTAGCCCCAGCCTGTGGTGAAAGCCACCCTGTTACAGAGGGTTTCTCTTTCTTGAGCTAGCTTTGTGACATGCCACAGAGGGTGTATGTACCACACAGAATAACTTTCGAAACAGAGGGGAACACCAGTGTGGCTGATTTGTTCTATGGAAACCAAGGCAAAAAGCCCACAAAATTAGTGCCATTATAGTAACTATGGTGTTCAGAATATGTGCTTGGTATCTTAATGACAGCTCGTTTGGAACATAGGAGTCTCCACAGCAGATCAAATCAATGGTCCAGCTAATGGTCTCTGATACTGAGCAGTGCCAGACGTTTAAGAGGAAGGTGCAAGAAACCCGCCAGTGAACTGCTACTGGGGAATTTGCTTCCTAATACAAACAATTAGTGATTGCTGAAACATGAGGGTTTAACTCTTTGTACCTCCTATTTTAATTCTATGTAAAGCAACTGTAGATATTCTCATCCATGTAAATGGCTAATCCTTTTCTGAATTCTCTTAAGCTCTGGGCCTCAGTTATCTCTGGTGGTAAGAAATTCCACAGCTCATCCGTCATTTGAGAGAAGGGTGGGGGGAAATTCAAGAATAATGTTGGATTTTTTTTAAAGTAGAGAATTTATTCCTATAGGCTCAAGGATTGTGTCATTTTCCTAGCTAGTGAGCTGTTATATGCCTTATTTTCTTTCCTTCCTTATTTTTTTCTTATACGTTTCTTATTTAATGTTATTAAATGTGTGTCTATTGCAGGGTATCTCCTTTCTCCTGTATCAGGGTTGTGTTTGGTTAGCTCCCCTTAAGGCTTGCCAAAATGGGCACACAACACTGCTGCGAAATGCAGTCGAGGCTATTTTGGTCCTTGTGGAAACCACCGTTTACACACAAAAGTTCACATAAAGTGGTAGTGTGGCAATCGGGACAGACTAAGATAGTGGAAAATAGGCCCCTATACAGGGGGAAGAGCATTTTACTGTAATTGTAACTGGACAACGTTTATAGTTATGGTTAATATTTTACATTGCTTCATGATATTCCTCTGGGTTCACATTATCCTATGGGTTTAGGTGGGAAGTAGAATTTAATATTCATCACATCCTTATTTATCACTTTAGAAAAAGGTATACGCACAGTGCTGTCACTCAAAATGCGTGTGTGAGCTTGCAAGACCTCGCAGCAAGTTGCAAGACCTCACAGCAGCTGCCATGTTATCTTGGTTCATTTACTTATTTATTTATTTCATTTTAAATCTTCAATAGTTGCTCTGGAGGAGACTCAGTCTAAGAGGGTAATTGTGAAAGGTTACGTGCGTGACTTACCAGGCAAAAATATAACAGGGTCCACTCTTCTGGCACCATCATGTAAGAGGTAAATGCCAACCAGCAAAGACTATACCACAGAGAGAGGAACAAGTTGAAGTTCAAAGGTGGTTTCTAGAGCTGGGCTGGAAACAGTTTTCCCATCCCACAAAAATTTTCCCATTCTGCATCGGGATGAAACTGAGACCTTTCAAAGTTTTTCAGGTAAACAAGAAGCCCTCCACAGTAGCCAATAGTCTAATAAGGGCATCTACCTGCAATTTGAAGGACACAAGTTCAAGTCCTTGCATCACCCACATCTCAGGTGAGCCACCGAGCTACACAGTCACTCTCTCTGTCTGGCCCAATGAATATTTAATTGAGATAGACACCATGATGCCAGAATAGTAAAGATGGTGATTAGGGATGTTGGAAGACCCAGGCTCAAGTCCCTGCACAAGATCAGGCAGAACAAGGACTTGACCCTGGGTTCTCCACATTGCAGATGTGCCCAGAATTTCCAACCAGGACCCAAGTAACCTTTCCAATGAATTTTCATTGAAACCAGCCCTCTCCTAAGAAAAGTTTCAGTTTCAACCAAATTGGCATTTGCTGACACCCTCCCTGCCCAAGAAAATCTAAATTCCTAAACAGCTCCTGTGTTTTGTTACTTACAAATACCAGTTGTCTCTTTTAAAACGTAAAATGCTTTTGTGTAGGACTTGAAACATCAGGCAATCTGGAGAAATTTGTAAATATACCATTTTTAGATTGCACATTGCTTTATCTGACTTACATGCATGAAGTAGTTGGGAATATGAGGTGGTGTTTATAGTAATCAGTAGCTCTCCCCCCACCTCTAACTTTTTATTGTTAATATTACTTATTCATAGAGAGAAGCAATCCAAGTGTATTTCACAAAGTAAGAGCTAATGGGTGGGGAACAAGCTGACTGACTATGAAGTAACTGAACAATCTGCCCTCCATTAGAGAGAAGAATAAATCAAAATATATGCAATGCAGGATGAAGGACCTTTAAAAATGCACTTAGTCTTTTTGTATTGTTTACTATTTCATGACTTTTATATGATAAAGTAGACCCTGATTTCTCATGTGCTAAATATTTAACATTACGACTAATGGTTTTTGATGTAACAAAACTGTCTGTTTTTGTTAACACAGATATTCACCCATGTTCTTCAAAACCCTGCACCAATAATTCAACATGCATAGAGACTGGAGATGGAGGATATATTTGTTTGTGTGCCAAGGGATTTACAGGAAAAAACTGCCATCTGAAAAAAGGGCCCTGCATTATTAATGGGTAAATATTGATTTCTGATATAAATATACAATCCTACTAAATTTTTCTCTGGTTTTCTTTCTTAAATCATAAAATGTTTGATATGTAACACATAACTTTTCCGCCGACATGGTAGTTTAGTTTCTAGCCTATTTGTTTCTAGACTCAAATTGACTAATTCTGATCTATTCCTATTATATAAATCTGATCAGATTTTTAGCATGAGTCTGTGTGCATAATTTGAACCTCAAATATTCAAAATTGCACATATTGTAATAATATTATGTTTGGGTTTTTTTACAGTTTCAATAGATAAACGTCAAAAGTACGTTCTAGGTGCTCTTAACAAATAATTAAAAATACAATCCAATTAAGACCAAAAGAGCAGTAGCCAACCAGCAACCTCCTTTAGCACAAAAGAACCCTGTCTGTAAAACCAAGGTATTTGAACTCCCATAAAACTCTACACCCAGTGTAGTAGTTAAATAAGGGGAGACATTGGGTGGGAGGGATAGCTCAGTGGTTTGAGCATTGGCCTTGCTAAATCCAGGGTTGTGAGTTCAATTGTTGAGGGGGCCATTTAGGGATCTGGGGCAAAAATTGGGGATTGGTCCTGCTTTGAGCAGGGAGTTAGACTAGATGACCTCCTGATATTCTATGATTCTCATTAAATCAGCAGAGAAGGGGCGGGGGTTTGTGCTGCTTCCTTGGGCCACAGAGCGGAGAGGGAGTTTCTTTCTTCTCGCCACCCACATTCCGAGTAGCCCCTGCCTTTATGGTCAGCTAAACCCACCAAACTTCAGGCTTCCCGAAATGCCTGTCCAAATGGATGAGCTTGGCAGCATGCTGTAAGGGTATGTCGACACTGCAGCTGGGCGTGTGCGTCCCAGCTTGAGCAGACAGATATGTGTTAGATTTGCTTGAACTAATGTTCTCAAAATAGTAGGGTTGCTGGGGATAGCATAGGCAGCAGCTTGGCTCGCTGCTTGAGTACAAACCATCTGGTCTCCCTGAGTGTGAACTCAGGCGGCTAGCCCGAGACACTGCCTCTGCTACCCCTGGCCACGTGGCTATTTTTAGCACATTCGCTCAAGCAGACCTAGCAGTGTTGAAAGACCTAAAAGTCAACAAATTGAATTAGCGGGATGGGACTGGACAGAGGAGAGGGTTGTGTTTGATAGTGAAGGCCTCTTGCGCAGAACAGCCTTCCAGCAGCTCCTTCTCCTCTGTACAAAGACATCCCCAGCTCAAGCACCTCCATTAACCTCTGTAGCTGGCATCCAAGTGGCCATTTATTTATTCACATTTGTAAAAACTGCTTTTCTGATATGTATTGGGCCTGATCCAAAGCCCAACAAAACCCAGGGAAAGAATTCCCTTGACTTAAGTGGATTCCCTTTCTGAAGTACTTAACTAACTGGCTGTTTGGAAGATTTTCTCATGCAGTCACATTAAGCATGCATAAAACTGTCCAGTCATGTGTCTAATTAGTCATTTGTATGCTCATAACTGAATATGCAGTCACAATATCTGCATGTACAAGTTAGGCATATGTCTGACAGCATGGCCCATAAAGTAGATAAGTAGACAACTGGCAGGTGTTTACATGCAAAATATTAACTATTCCTTAGACCTGTACTGTAAGGTAAATCATCTATAATGTATAAATTAAAGGAAATTAGTACCAGTAAATGAAATCAATTAAGGATATAATGTCTGAAATATGGATATTGTTTTAATTAAGCATGTAACAAAAGATTTGGACAGACAAACAGTAAGAGGCTGAAACAGCAACAAGGGATTAGAAGGAATATAATTTAGTGAAATTCAAGCTTTTATTCATTGATGAAGGCTGGCAGTATTCTGATACAATAAACTCTACATGCAATATTATATTAATGGCTGAACTCAGATTACTATGGGGAAAATAGACTTTAAGGTTTGAACCTATTAATTAAGAAACCTATTCCCTATGAGTCTTGTGTTATGATGGCTTTTTGGCTGCACATTTTGTCCATGACTCAGTTGTCACTAGGTTTTAATAATATAGCTGGGAACAGAACTGTCTGAAAAATGATGAAAAAAATGTGAATAATTTTTTAATTAAATTTGAAAAAATCCAGCCAGCTCTAGATTCTTAGGAGGAATCTATTCTGTTCTATCAAGGGTCTTCTCACATTCTCCTAGTATCTGAAGTCCTTTAATCCTCGTGCATTTTATTATGATAAAGCAGGAGCTTCACTACGGTTAAGGCTGCTACCAGCTTACATTATAAAATGCTGTTTTAGCTTCCCTAGAGCTTTGGTTTGGAAAATTGTCTTAGCCTGAAAATTGGCAGATTTCCCCTGAGGTTGAAGCAGAATATTTCTGCAAAGCTTGAAGAAAATTAATCAATTTCTGTGTTATAAATCACTTTAAAAATAATTATCCTAATTTGAAACATTGACTTTTGTCTAAGGTTTCCTTGTCTCCCTTTAGCTCAACAATGGTTTGTTACAACCCTTTCAGCCTTTCCATGTAGTTAAATCTCCTTGGAAACTTCTGCACTCATTATATTTGATGAAAATGGGTTGTAATTGAGCAAACAAATATTTATTTTGTATAAGGCTGTTGCCCAAACATGCTCTCACTGACTTCAAGCTGGAGATTCTTGCTGAAATACTCAGGGTTCAACTGATCAACGTATTTGGGGTTGGGAAGGAATTTTCCCCTGGGTCAGATTGGCAGAGACCCTGGGAGTTTTTTGCCTTTCTCTGCAGCAGGGGGCTCTCGCAGGTTTAAACTATTGTAAATGGTGGATTCTCTGTAACTTGAAGTCTTTAAATAATGATTTGAGGACTTCAGTAACTCAGCCAGAGGTTATGGGTCTATTACATGATTGGGTGGGTGAAGTTCTGTGGCCTGTAAAGTGCAGGAGGCCAAAGTAGATGATAATGAAGGTCCCTTCTGACCTTAAAGTCTATGAGTCTATGACTTTGTTCCAAACCTGTGCTCTGTTATGTCAGTGGAAGATTTTTGCCATTGACTTCAGTGGGGCCAGGTTGGGTAATTTGTGTACGTGTGAGTTATTTTACCCTCATTGGTTGGTTGCAGTTTACAGTGTAAGGATGGCTGATGTTCAGTGCTCGGTAAGGGAATTCGTGGCATAACAAAAGCCTAACAGAAATCTTCCTTTAACTCAGACGGTAGAGGTTTGGCTTTTAGGAATTGCAGGGACACAATTCCAGTCACTGCTCTGCAGGTATGTGTTTTGTTATGGAGGGGCGATAGCCCGTCTCCTATTTATGTGTTTTGTACAGCACCTGCTACACTGGGGCTCTGATCTGATTGGAGTCTCTGTCGTGGTTCAGGGCTAATTGCACCTTTGAGTGTACCCTAACACCTTTGAGTGTACCCCCACAGGTGTTAGGCCTCATGCCCTTACCTTTTTCTGGTGTGAAACCCACATTTCTCCCACTCTTGAACTTCAGCACCATGTGGCCTGACTGGGTTTTGCACAGGCAAGTCTTCCCTTTGAGGGCTTGTGATCAGTGCTAACTAGAAGAACTAGACAGCTTTCTTAAACAAAGTCTTGTTTAATCTTAACAGTAAGAACAAAGAAAGCATAAGAGAAAATGGATTTTAAACCAAGAAAAGGGCTACACACATCTGTCTTACTTAATGCATAGGAAGGCCTAACTTCTTTAGAACCCCAAGTAGGTGTCCGTGTTTTTGTCAGCCTGTACCCCGTGAACAGCTCCCTGACAATTGCCTGATCTCCGGAGAAGGAGACTTTTTACCTTGTCTGTGCTCCTTTTGATTTCTTCAATCCCAGCCCTGGCAAAACAAGACTTCTGACTTGGCTCTAGCCTGAAAGTAGCATCTTCACAGCTAATAGTTCAGGCATTCTGTCTTACTGACCCCCAATATGCTTATTTGGAGCCATCATGTAGCCTTTCTGCTTGTTAACAACCTTGCTATTAAAGATTTCAGAGTAGCAGCCGTGTTAGTCTGTATTCGCAAAAAGAAAAGGAGGACTTGTGGCACCTTAGAGACTAACAAATTTATTTGAGCATAAGCTTTCGTGAGCTACAGCTCACTTCATCGGATACATTCAGTGGAAAATACAGTGGGGAGATTTATATACAGAGAGAACATGAAACAATGGGTGCTACCATACACACTGTAATGACAGTGATCAGGTAAGTTGAGCTATTACCAGCTATTACTTCAATCTCTCTGGTCACTCGATTACAGATCTAAAAGTGGCAATACTTCAACAAAAAAACTTCAAAAACAGACTCCAATGAGAGACTGCTGAATTGGAATTAATTTGAAAACTGGGTACAATTAACTTAGGCTTGAATAGAGACTGGGAGTGGATGGGTCATTACACAAAGTAAAACTATTTCCCCATGTTTACCCCCCCCCCACTCCCCACTGTTCCTCAGACGTTCTTGTCAACTGCTGGAAATGGCCCACCTTGATTATCACTACAAAAGGTTCCCCCCACCTCCTGCTCTCCTGCTGGTAATAGCTCACCTTACCTGATCATTCTCGTTACAGTGTGTATGGTAACACCCATTGTTTCATGTTCTCTGTGTATATAAATCTCCCCACTGTATTTTCCACTGAATGCATCCGATGAAGTGAGCTGTAGCCTGCTATTAAAGTAAACCAACATATGCATGCAGTGAGGGTGACCAGATATCAAGTGTGAAAAATTGGGACAGGGGGTCGGGGGGTAATAGGTGCCTATATAAGAAAAAGAAAAAAATATTGGGACTGTCCCTATAAAATCGGAACATCTGATCACCCTACATGTAATAAATATTCCAGTAACTATCCCAATAACTAGGTCACATACAGTGTTCATAAATTATTACAGATGAGCTCCTGACCTTCACAAAAATATTCCTGAATGCCACCTACTGGATCTGGCCCTGTGTCCTGGGGAAATTATTGTTTTCATATGCTGGCTTGGAAGTCATGTGTCCTGTTTCCTAACGTTCCTTAAAGCGTGTTTTCCAAATGTTAGAATG